TTTTATTACAAATGGGATTTAACAGATAAATTTTTGGAAGATTTCGCTACCGTGAGCATTGAACCTAAAGAAGGATATATTAAAACTAACTGTGAAGTTCAGAGTGTTATCTCGATCACTGCAGTGAAGTTTCTTTCAAAGAAAAACATCAAACTTGAATTAAACGTAAGAAATCTAACAATTTTTTTAGAAAAATATAAAAATATTGATTTTTAGATTTCTTATGGTCCAACTATTCCTATTACATTGGTGTGTACAACGTGTAAAACTCGTTTGAAGTTTTCTGATACAATGCATGATTTTGGCGCCTGTTTAGCACAAAAACACAATACTTTTAGCAACGTATGGACTCTGGAGTTGAGCAATAACGATAGTATTATCTACATGTATTTATTTTTGTTTAATTTATGCATTTTATGAGAAATTAATGTTTTTTATGTTTCAGAGTACAAATTGAATCACAAAATTACGATCATTTGACAATCTGCACCAAAGAAACAATCATAAGTCCCAAACAAACAATTAAAATCTTGTTTTATTTTCATCCGAAAGAAATAACAAAGTACACGACTAAAATAAACATTTTAGTCAACGATAAAAAGTATCCCATTACTTTACACGGCGAAGGAGTTTCAATGGAAGTAGAGTTATGTAATATCTGTGATAAATTCTTAAATTTTGGTGCGGTGCCACTTGGAAAACACAATAAGAAAGGAGTGCAAATTATAAACAAAACGAAATGTACAGTGAGCATTTATTTTGACTTGTATCACAGATTGCCTATATTTATGAAAACTGTAAGATACTTGACGCCGGATTTCGAGCAGCCTGAAATAAAACCGTCGGATATTTCAATCAAAAAGTAATTATTTTTTTAGTTAAAAATATATTTTTAATTATTACACTTTAGGAAGAAACCTGCTGCAAGTAAGAATAAAAATGAGAATAGAAAATCTAATGATGGTACTATAATCTCAAAGAAAAGTAAATCTTCAAAGGATGGCAAACATAAAACAGCGAAAAGTAGTAAAAGTAATGAGAGTGTGAAGAAAAAAGATAATAAAAAAGCTAAAAAAGAGAAGATTAACAAGCAAAAGAAGAGTGTGGAATTAATACAAACGTAAATAATTAGTGTTTTTATTTAATTTTCAGTTTATTAATGAAATTTTGTTTAATTTTTAATTTTTTGAAATTGTTTTGCATTTTTTATTATATTTTCTTTGATAATCTAATTTCTAGGGAGAGCATGGAGACACAGGAAGAAAAACAACATCGTTTGATAGACTCTTCAATACGCATTCGTCCTTCAAAGTGGATTAAACTACAACCGCAAAACAGCACGGAATTTAAGATAACATACATGCCCACAGAAAGAATGCCTGCTTTTCAGGAGCAGGTTTATTGTCAAGTAGAAGATACAGTATTCCCACTCTGCGTACTAAAAGCATCGTGCATAGCACCTGAGTATAGTTTACTCAAGAGTAAAATATCATTCGGGACACTTATTATTGGTTCATCAAACAAGTATTATACGAAATTGATTAATTCTGGTGATGTAGGCGGAAGGTAAAGCAAATAATTAAAAAAAAAACTAAATATAAAAAAAAACTTTTTGATTATAATTATAATAGATTTAAATGGAGTTGGAAAAGCGCTCGCAGTGAAGTATTTACAATTCAACCAGTTGAAGGCTATTCTTCACCTGGAAGTTGTACGAATTTCGAAGTTAATTTTCATCCGTCATTTGTGCAGTGCAACTGCACAAGCTGGGCTAAGTTGACTATCGACAATTATAAAACTGTGTTTGATTTGGAGCTATGCGGAAGTTGTATTAACCTACCGAGTCCGAAAGATACATTGAAGTTTTCAGGACCAGTTCGTGAGACTTATACGAAAAAGTTTACATTGAAAAACTCGTATGTTAAAGTCAAGACAATTATATTTTATTTTATTCCTTTTTAAATATACTTTTAGAACTCCTGAAGCTTGGGTTATTAAACCAATTTTAAGTGGAGAGTTTTTCCATATAGATGATCTTATTGTAGTTGAAGCTAAGTCTTCTTCTGTTGTGGAAGTGACTTATCAACCATTAGCGATGACACAAGGAAATAAATATCACGAAGTACTTTTAATTATTTAAATTTTTTTTTCATTTTCTTTTTTAATTTTCTGAATGTTAATTTCAGGGAAACATATTTT